TACAGAAGGGTTTAAATGTCGTTTTAACAGATCATATAGGTTGTCAGTAGTATAATGTGTTTTAGTAATTGTATGGCCGTGGTATGTCGAAAAGGGTAATTTGAAGTCGTAAGAATTCTTTTATCCTGTAAGTAGCCATATTTAATTTTTGGATACATTGGTAAGGACCTCTGTTGCTGGTATCATATTGTGTCCTGAACTTTCGTCGGAGTGCGTTGCTATTTTTAATGAGTTGAGTTCGGAGGGTCGAGAAAAATAGTCAGCTACTATGTTAGTTCTGCTTGGTTTGTATCTGGTTTCATGATCATATTCTTCTTAGATGGCCTTCCATCTTTTAAGTTGAGCTGTCGTTTTTATTGCTTAATGCGTACGTTAGGGGTTGGTGATAGGTAAATATATTATTTTTTGCTGTGCCAAATAAGTAGTTACGTTTGTTGCGTAATTTTCCCTGTTTTGATTCTTAAAATAAAATTGATTGGTTTTCCGTCCTGTTCGAGTACTCCTCCGATGGCGTGTTGCGAAGCATCAGTATTCAAGTGAAATTGTTTATGATAATTGGGATATGTTAGTGTTTGTTCTCTTGAAACTAATGCACTTTTTATTTTATCGAATGCTTTTATAGCTACGTCGTCTAAGTTGATGATTTTTTTTTTNGGTAGAAATCTTGGATTGACTGTCCACCCTGAATTAGTCCAGTCGTTTCATATTCTAGAGTATCTAGGAACTCTGTTTTGTCAGCCTAATGTGTAGTCAAACACATTGAAATCACTTTTTAATTAAGAGGGGTGTTGATTCTAAGCTGAGGATTCTAACAAAATATCCGCGTTGCCAACTCATCTTGTTCCTTACAACGTTTAAGATTCAAAAATACTTGGGGCTACCTTGAGTGTGCTCGTAGATTTGCAGTATCCTTTTGACACTCTTTTCCTACGAACTAAATTCGGATGGTTTGGTTTATAGTTTGGTTTATAGTCGGAATTTAGCATTTGAGCGACTACATTTCGTATCATATTTGCTAAATTATTATTCGGTTGTAAAGCAGGTGCGGGATCTGAATTTGGAGTCAGATTAGGTAGGTTAATGTCCACTAACATCCCCTTTTAAATGAAAGTCGCAGAGTTATTTTATTTTTATAAGAACCGGAGGGTCCCCCGTTTGGTGGTGAATCGCGGCCCTTTTTATTATTTTAAGTTATTGGCTGTACAAGCTCATTTTTATTTTTAATGAAATTGTAGAAATTAATAATATTTTTAAATATTTATATTGTATATATAAAGGGTGTTTTTTTGATATGTGGTGTTAATAATAATTAAATAAAAATCAAATTTTAAATTATATAATGTTATGGCCATAAACTTACCTTTATTATAAAGATAGGGGTTTGCAATTAAGTTTTGAAATGATTTCGGACAAGTGATCGCAACGACAGGCTCGAGGTCCAAATTTCAACCACTTTTTTTTAAGTGACTTCACATTACCCCACAAAATATAGTCCAGAGGTATTAAATCGCACGATCTTGGAGGCCACACCACAGGCCCACGGCGTGAGATAATGCGCTGACCAAAAGTTTCCTTCAATAAATTAATTGTTTCGTTGGCTGTAGAGCAGGTAGCATTGGATTGTTGGAAGAAAAGGTCATCCATATCAACACCCTCCAATTCAAGCAAGAAAAAGTCATTATCATGGCTCTATAGCCATATATACTGTAACATTATGTCTGGCTTAATTTTTGAAGTAATATGAACCGATGATTCCCTCTGCACAAAGAGCACACCAAACGGTGACTATTTGAGGAAGTAACGGCATTAACATACCCATTCAACCAAGAGTGAGTTTCATTGCTGAACAATATTTTCTTGTCAAAATCGAGATCAGATTGCGTTTTGGGCCCATTTTCCGAACGTGCGATGCTTTTGAGAGTCGTTCAGCTTAAATTTTTGCACGAGTTAGATTTTGTAAGCCCGCAAACCGAGTTCCTTCCGCAAAATATTTCAGTGGATGGGTACATCTTTAATTGTTGCACGAAGGTGGATGGACTCTTTCGAGTCTTCTTCGATACTCTGCTCCACAGCAGCGCGTCTGAGGATTTACATTATCCACTAGAGTGCACATAATGCGAAACCGATTCATGGTTGTTCGAATTACCGACGCTGTTGGGTAATTATGTCGACCAAATATTGCACGTAGTGCGCGTGGCACCGCGAACCATTACTTTGGTAATAAATTTTCACGATTTGCTAGCATTGTAACGGTGTAAGTCTGTTCATTATGAATTGAACCAACCTTATTATAAATCTAGTAACAGCTGTCAAAAAGACCAACTTCGAAAAACGCAAACTATGCTCTTCTATTCAGACTTGAAACATATTCAGTTCTTAGCCAACTGAAATGGATGTTTCCACCTCACAACAATGAATACTAGAGTCCGACAAGCTTAATCGCATGAATGCTTATTGGACAATGTCCATTAAAAATTCCAACAATTGCGACCAGATGAACTTTGCTAATGGCATATAGTTCAGTAAATTTCCTGCGTTATATTCTAAGCCAAAAGCATCTCACAGTCCATTGGTCAAGTCAAATAAGAATAGAGACCCAATTCGTTCCCATTCTGATGTAAGCGGGGAGAGAGTGCCTCCTCTTTCTAGCTCATCGGTTCTGATAATGAAGTAGCTTCATACTATTTCTAGCATTTCATAATACACTCCTTGACGAGCTTTCAACGCACAGTTAGCGAGTGCGCAGTGCGTCTATTGCTACCTTAATAGCAACCACTTCTGCCTGAAAAACATCACAGTGTTCCGCTAGCCTAAAACTAAGCTTGACGGAGAGCTCTTTACACAAAACTCTCCTCCAACCTGCCCCCTAGCTTTGACTCATCCGTGAAAAAGCTCGCTATATCTTATCTCAAGCGACTTCTCATCCACATATCCCTCGTCAATATGTAAGCAGAGAGTTTCAGCATTTCCTTGTCCGGACCCCTTTATATACTAAGCTTCTCTGAGACTTAGAGCCACTTCGTAGTAATGCACCTGCCAGCAATATACACGGGAATTATGTGAAAATGGCGTTAAATGTTATTGCTGGTGTAGTCCGTAATGCACCGGAGATGCCGATGACAACCGCTTTTTGTAAACGTTCAAGCTTCTTAGCGATTGAAGCCTTTTCGAACATCCTTCACCAGAAGAATATACCGTAAAACATTAGTGACTTTGCTACTGTTTCGTAGAGCCAAAACCCCACCTTTGGTGAGAGTCCCCACCTTTTCCCTATAGCTCCTCTACAGCAATATAAGGCAACCCATGCCTTCGTTACTCTCTCTTCAATATTTGGTCTTCATGAAAGTTTTCTATCAAGAATAGATACTAGAGTGTTAATTTTTTCTTAACAATTTTTTTTTTCGTTCCCATGGTGAAATTTTGTTGGAAATACCAAAAAAAAAATGAAGTGAAAGATTTTTCCGACAGGTTATAAACGCCACTTTAATCAGAATACAAGCCTTAGGTATATGGCCTCGCATATGAAGAACAACAGGTCTCAGTTTGTGTTATTGAAGTTCCTATAAGTTCTGTTTACCATCTGTCGGCACAACATATCAGTTTGTAACTGCATACTAAGGTGTCTAATAACCTCGACCACCAGTCTAGGGTTCAACCAATCCTAAGTAAGGTCTGCGTCGAGCAAAGAGACAGTCAGTAGGAATCGAAAGACCGCAGTTGATTTACGGTTACCCAGGATGCATCACGCGGAGGCGAACCTGCTCTGCATCCCAACTGTGCATCAACAAAAATAATAAAATTTCAGCAGGACACAAGAACATTTCCTATTAAAAGTCGAATATCTGTGTTTAATAGAAAAATTTTAACCTAAATAAGTTAATAATTACGAAATATTTACTTATTTTATAAAAATAAATGTAGTGGCGATGCTTTAAAATCCGTTTCTTATTGAATGTATATTTGATTCACATTTGAATGCTGTTCAAATGTTTTCTAGCTCATGACCTGAGTAAAATTCTGACCTTGAGGTTCAGCATAAAAAGTGGTAAAATTTCATATTCACCGTTTGGCACACACCCTAAGTACAAAAACTTAAATTTTAATCGTTTGGGCAATTGAATAACATCACTATGCAAAAGATAATCCATTTTTAAATTAAACTTGATAAGAAATATACACACATACATATATGGCACATGGGTAATCATTTATGTACATATGTATATAAGAAAATACTAAAATTCTCGTCAACTACATACTTATGTATGTTCATATGTGTGGTCTAGCGAAAACCAAATTCAGTTGATATAGGAGTATCATGGTGCAAGTATTGCTCGCATCAATATTTGTATAAATCTATGCATATGTATACATACATATTTACTAATGTAAATGTCTGTGCGTACAATGTTGAAAAATAAGTAAACTATATTTTATACAAAATACCACATTGTACTAAACTCGTAATAGCCCATTATCTAATACTTGTTTTTAAGTTATAGAGCATTAATGTGATTTAATGGTTTGTGCTTATGTCCCAATAAGTGGGTAATACTGAGTTCATATTATAATAATATTTCGCAGTGAATAATGGAATATTAATAATGACTGCGGAATTTGCATGGTCAAATTGTGTGATCTTTTGCTTTTAACTTCCTTTTAACAGCGTTTATTTTAGACACAGTGTACGAAAAATTTAAATAAAGGTAAGGTGATGTTCAAAATTAAAACTTAATTATATACTTTGAAAATAAAACTGAGCAATAGAATACATGCAGATTCACAGCAAATTAATATAGCGAAATAACACGACCAAAAATGTTCAAATGTTTAATTCAGCTGCTATACGATTATTTAGTGATAAATTTGTTGAAGTTACAATGACATGATGCGAGACTCTCTCATTTTTCTCTCAAACACGTTCCCTGATTATGTTGATAGCGATGAAAGTCAAGGAATTTTACAAGGAAAGTAACAGACAAAGTCAGTGCGAAACGAATTTTCAAAGAACGATACAATTAATATTGAATTCCGTGCAACTAAGGGTTTTTTATATATTTAAAATGTTAATCATAAAATCATGTTATTTTATTATGAGTTGTTATGTTTTGTTTTTTTGTTATAGTTGTATTATTTATCTAAGGACTGATGTCTATTATTTATTAATAATATGAGTACACGTATTTAGGGTTGAATATGAATGATGTACGTCTTGGCCGGGACCGGGTACCTAAAAATAATATCAAAACGCAAAATGCCCAAAAGTTAAGTTTTTAAAATACCTAATCTATTTTATTTCGACAGTGGCATCATTGATAAGCGTAATCAAAAATGTGAGTTTTGAAAGCTCTTTCTCGAATTAAAGAGTTTTGTATCATGCCATCAAAATGAGTTGGACGAAGAGGTTTTCTATTATTTGCCGTTTGAAGTGCTGAGTGATAAAAACAATCAAGCACTTGTTATTATTGATTTTTCTAATCAAACTTATGGAAAGATAATTAATTGTTTAGTCCCATATACATATAATATGTAAGTATTCCAAATAAAATATTTCGTGTTTTATTTTTACTTGCAATAAATAAAAATCGGAGCGTTCATAGAGTTTAAGAAGCAATTATTTCACTTGGTGTGGTCTTGTAGTCAATGCTGTGTTTGTTGTGGCAACTTGTAGTTTGCTAAAGAGGAAGTGGAGGGTAAAGCGAAATAGTAGGCTTGTGTTAAGCAACACGTTTTTTGTTCTTGTTCACAATACGCTGTGTTAAATTTTAAACGAGCAATACATAGCGAAATTTAGAATGTAACATACATTTTTTTCCATCAAATTTGCATAAATGCACAAATATTCATAACACAACATAAATATTTTAGATAATAAAAAAAAATTATGTGATGTTAAAAATGAACGACACCAATGTTAACCTTCCTTAGTTTCATGTGCCAAATACGATGGTTTCCTTTATTTGGATACATTTGTATAACAATGTGAAAGGTGTATTATTTTAGAAAGCAAAAGTAATAACCATAAAGGAATATCCAATTTATTTTAAATCTTATAGATGCTGAAAAGAAAGGTTAGGTTTGGAGGTCGATTCTAAGAAGGATCACACTTGGACAGCTTAAACGCCGGTGCGTTGTGGTACCTAAAAACTCCTATAAATTGAATCAAAGAATCCCTTACGTGTCGACAAAGCGCTTTGTGCCTATAACAAACTTGTTGAGACAACCAATATCCGTTTCGGCCAAGTCTTCTGGTCCGACGAAAGTGGGATTGCCGAAATGTTTCAGCCTCAGCCTATAAAAAGCCGGACAGTGGGGAAGAAAGTTCCGGGATGTTTCAACCTCACCCTCCTCCATACAACTTTGATAACTATCATCGGGTAGTATTCTAAGCCGCACCGCATGAGTTCCCATTGAACAGTGTTCAGTGATAACTCCTACCATAGTTGCGAGATTAACTTTGTTCAAGGCGAGAAGTTCTCCCTAGGAGTTGGTCGTCGACCAGGATCTGCTGAGTGCACGCGAGGTCCATTGATCCAGAGCTAGAACGTAAGACGGAAATGGAGATCCAACTCGATCCCATTCCGATTTGACCGGGGCAAGGGTGCCTCCCTGGCTAGCTCATCGGTTTTACAGTTGCCGCCGATTCGCTGTGACCAGGCATCCAAACGTGCCTTATGTTGAAGTAGCCAGATGCTATTTCTAGTGAAGACAGATACTCCTTGACTTGCTTTGATTGCACGGTTCGCGCACTCTGAGCTAGCTAGAGCGACACTCTGTTGCCGGAGTGAATGATAACTTCTCTAAACTAAGCTGCACTTCGTAGCAATACTTCTACCGCCACCTTGATAGCAGCCACTTCCGCTTGAAAAACACTACAGTGGTCCGGTAGCCCAAAGCTAAGATTGACGGAGAACTTTTTACAGAAAAACCCTCCTAACTTCGACCCATCCGAGCAAAAGCTCACCGAAGAAAAAGCCTCCTCGAGTGGCCTCTGAGACGCAGTGATCCAAATTTTCAGGAATGCAGCTGAAGGAAGAGAGAATTACGGCGTGTCCTTATTCGAACCTCTTTATAAGCCCAGCTTTTCTGAGCGTTAGAACACACTTCGCAGCAATGCACCTGCTGGCTTTATTTTTTTATAATTATTTAGATCAGATCACAATAGCATATAGCTGCCAAACAAACTGAGCGATCGGAGTCAAGTGCTTGTATAGAAAACTTTTTCATTTGACGAGATTTATTCACAATATTTTTGTTTAAAGCAATGGTGCGATCCCGGAGAAATTGTTTAGATCGCATGACTATTCCACATAGCTGCCATACAAAATGACTGATCAAAATCAAGTTCATTTAAGGAATCTTTTGTATTTAGGAATTATAGCTTCAGTGTCAGTATTGCCAGCAATATGAGATGCCGAAAACGATGAATGACTCTCAGTTATGAATTTTGTAATTGAATTGTCTTTGGATCTTTTTTTTCCACCTTGTTTTAAGCGAGTAGCTTCTGCAGGTATGTAGTTTTTCGAATTTTTAATTTTAATTAAGGTGTTAGATCGTCATAGCCCACAGAACTGCTGTTAGGCATTACATCTTGAGGCCAAGCTTAGCCATTCGGTTTGCCTTTCTGGCCTACCCCTCCTTTATTTTTGTGTTTCCCCACTCTTTCCTTCTCAGTTTATCCCAGATCAGTGTCGATGCAATCATGAGCCGCACTATGTTATCCGGCATCAATCAATCTGTTGTTCTTATCAATTGCAGCACGATCTCATCTTCTCTGATATATGTGCAGGAAATCTGGCGCAGATTAGAGCACTAACTCGTGAAGTAATGCTGGAAATTGCGATCTTGACGAAATCAGTACTAAATATGATATTAATGAGACTATCCGTACTCAGGTAAAAGAGCGTAATGGTATGGTTTACTTAGAAACGTAGACGCAAGCTGTGCTAAGACTACTACTGTGTAACATAAAGAAGCATTCAGGCTAAAATATCGCGAAAATACAAAGTTATAATCTTAGAAGAATGTGGATAGGTCTACAAGCATTTAAATATTTAAAGCTCTTGACAGGTTACTGAAAAACAAAAAATAGGATTTTCATAGGTGATCTACTGTAACAGTCTGGTGATTTCAGACAGACATTGACCATCATTCCATATGCGAAGTATCCTTGAACATGAAAATGATCCTTTAGCGCCAGAGTTCTCTATACAATTGTTAGATATTGGCAATGGTAAAATTCACATGTATGAAGATACACAATATATTTGACTCCCAAAGAATTTTTGCTACATGGTGGCTACCAAATATGTATTAATAAAAGTATTCTTCTAATTTGTAACATAATTTCAATCCTCCTACACCATGTAGCAAGTTATTTTAGCCACAAAAAATGTATATGGTGACACAATTAATGTAAAAATAGAACAATTAAAACATTAAAATCGATCAATCTTAGGGGTTTTCACACGCATCATTGTTATCTGTTATTCGTTATTCGATAAACTTTTACAGGTATTTTGTTCTTGTAAATTTAACAAAATGCTAACATAATGAATAACACTTTACCGTCGGCATGGTCACTCTGACAAATTACTCGTTACTTTGTAAAACAGTAATCATTCTATGTTTGTATCTATAATTGGATATGCAGAAGTACCTTAACACTTATTGCTCGTTATTCGAGTTTACAACTTATTGCTTTTAGCTCAATTGCTCTTTACACGGCAACACACTAATTAGAACTATTTGTGCTGCACAATCTTCGTTTTTAGAACATTTTGGCAACTACGAACTCGCTGTCAAACCGTTCCAGCTGAACTATCTTCATTTTATACCTTGGTCTTCCAATGCTTTTTATGTGATACACTACATCGTTCAGTTGTTAGTAGTACCTAGTATGTAGCTTCCTAATTACCCCGTAATTTGGGATGCAGCCCTTTTTTTCGTTGGGAGTTATATATAATAAAAATACCGAGTCGCCTTCTATAAAACCCTCAGAGTTCATAGCCTTGTCGTATTTTGCTTTTATTTTATCGCTCATAATTTTGGATTTTGGTGCGCTGTCTAACCATAGCATGTATATCCCCCATCTCGTTTTCTACGATGTTGTTGACATCTTTAGCATTCTTCCTCCGTTGGCGTTAAGGATATATGGATATCCCAATCTTTTTCAAACTTATCCTCTACTTTCCGCAAATATTCAAAGTTCGATTGAATCGTTCTACCATGCCATCGGACTGCGGATGTAGTGCAGTTGTGCGGGTTTTCCGGAAACCCAGTTTCTGGCCATCTCCTAAATTAAAACTGATTCAAAATTTCTTCCTTGGTCAGAATGTAGTTCTATTGGATATCTTGATACCTAATACCCTTTACTATTCCTGCCTATTGGTTAGGAATGCGTATAATTCTGGCCATTTGCTGAAATAGTCCATGACTACAAAACATATTTGTTTGATAGTTTACTGACAGGAAATCGACCTGCTACATCCATGGCAATTCGCTTAAATGGCGCACCTGAATTGTACTGTTTTATCTGACTATGACGCCTGGATTTCGGCCTTTTAGCAGCAATGCTCTCGACACAATTGGCGATCCACCCCGTAACTGATTTACGACAACCAACCCAATAAAATCTTTGTTTTAATTTCTCCAAGGTTTTAGTGATACCCATGTGTCCTCCACTTGTACCGTTATACAACACGTT